CATCAGCAAATTATAGCAGTGGGGCTTAGCAAGTCACATGTCAACTGAGGCGCACATAAATGACGCACTCTGGGACCCAGCCAGAGCACTAGGGAGCCATCACTCCCTCATGTCAAGTGTATCATGGAAGACCTCTAGAGAGACCTGCCCCTTTTCCATTCCAAAGAGTTGCCAGCTCCTGACCAACAAAAGGCTTGCAGCCTACTATGCTCACTATACCCTTTCCTGTAGTAACTGGGCATGTGTCCATGAAGAACATGCTTAACTCAGATGCTAGCAAACTCACACATGGCTGGTACAGCAAAAAATCAGTCGAGAAAAAAGTAAGAGATGTAGTGCTATTCAACAAAGCATCCCAGAGAACAAACAAACTGGCATAAAGACCAGAGGATTATCCATCTGGGTACACTGACATTTATGGTGTTTTAAATAGGATGCTTCCAAGGTTTTAATGAAAATTAGAGTAGCAGAGAATATTATTTTGAGAAATATGGAGAAAAAGAAAAACCAAACAAGCAAACTCATGGCTATCGAGTTTGATCCCAACTCATAGGGAGCCTATAAGACAGAGGAGAACTGCCTTGTGGGTTTCCAAGACTATATATCTTTATGGGAGCAGATAGCCTCATCTTTCTCCCTCAGAGCAGCTGGTGGCTTTGAACCACTGATCTTGAAAATATCAGCTCAATCCATAAAACAGTTCAGGGGAAAGGGTAATTAAAAGGAAATGGAGTTTTTCCTTGAACTTTTCACGCCCCTTCATATGTGTGTATGTATGCATGTATGCAGCCCTGACAGGGCAATGGTTAAGCCCTCCACTGCTAGCCAAAAAGTTAGTGTTTCAAGTCCACCAGCCACACCACAGGAGAAAAGACAGGGAGCCCAGAAAACCCTAATGGGCAACTCTATGCTGTTACATGGGATTCCTATGAGTCAACATCAACTTGATGGTGCACAACAGCAAGAACAAGATGTAAAATATAGATATGGGCTGGCACCAATCCTGGAAATCCAGAAGTCAAAAAGAAAAGAGTCCTATTTGGACATATAAAATATTTTTCAATGTACATGGAAAATATACCATAAGCAAATCCAGTGTATAAACAAAGATTTGGTTAAGATAACTGTAACAATGGTTGTAGACCAATTATCAATTTCTAAGATACACAGAGTTGTTACAAATGAGGAAAAAATAAAATAACACGAAGGAACTAAGCAGATGCTATATACAGGCAATTCAGGAAGACCAAATTTAATTGGACAAAAATAAATCACATATGAAATAATACTGAAATGTACTAATAGTAAAGAAAATATGCCTGCTAAGTTGTTAAATTTTAAACAGAACCATAATACTTACTGCCGGTGATAATATAAATACATATACATATATACACACACATTTCTGGGCAGTGTTCCATTCTACTGTGCATTGGATAACCATAAGTCAGGGACAACAATGACACACGCACACACACACACACAGAGCCCTGGTTGGATAAGCCTTGGGCTAATAACAACAAGGTCGATGGTTCAAATCCAATAGAAACTCTGCAAGAAAAAGATGAGACTGTCTGCTCCTGTAAAGATTTACAATGCCTTGGGAAACTCTAAACGGTAGCTATGAATGGAAATCAACTCGAGGACAGTGGATTTGATATCTTGTATTTGCTAGGGGGTGCTCCCCCCAAAACCGGAATTCCCAGCCCCCCTCCAAAGCTATGTATATAATTTTTTTTTTTACAAAACCACCTTATCACCTTCAAAGTGCTCTCCATTACGTTTAATACATGTGTCAAATTCGTTATTCCATTCTTGGAAACATTATTCCAACTCATCTGTTTCAATGGCTGACAGCACCTCCCTCGTTTTTTTTCTTCACCTCTTTTCTTTATTTATTTTTGTTGTCTTTTCTTCTTCACCTCTTCTATATCATCATCAAATTGCTGTCCTTTCATGTCCCTCTTAATTCATGTAAACAAAAAGAAGTGACATGGAGTGAGGTCAGGTGAGTCAGGAACGTGGTGCAAGAAAGCCATGCTGTTTTTTGCCAAAAACTGGCACACTGAGATGGCTGCATGAGCAGGTGCATTGTTGTAGTGTCAAAACCAGTCCTCCATCTGCCACCAATCAGGCCTTTTTTGTCTAAAAAGAAAGCTTGATTAACAATCTGACCTGATGGAATGAACTCCAAATGCACTATCCCCTTCATATCACATCCGGTTTGGGGGGTGGAGACATCCTTGTATACATGTATGTGCATATAAGTGTTCATTGAAAGCACCAGTATGTAAGGGCCTATGTCCAATGATACATTTCAGCACTGATTGTATTGATAGAAAGGAGCCCTGCGTTGCTGTTGGGTAAGCATTGATTGCTAACTATAAAGTTCAAACCCACCAGTCAATTTGCAGGAGAAAGAGGAGGATGTCTGCTCCTACAAAGATTTAGGAAACTTTATCAAGCCTCAGAAACCCTATATAGAATCGCTATGCGACAGAATTATTCAATGGCAATAAGTTGGTAGGGGGTGTTAGTTACAGATATCTGGAAACAACATAAGTACATAAATACTCAATAATAGAGGAATTTCTAAATAACTAAATTACTGTCATCCATGAAATATTTTGCAATCTGTAGAAAGAGTTAAGAGCTATACCATCATTGATTTCTATGAAATATTGTTGAATGAGAAAAGCAAGATATATTAAAAGTAGATAACAGAAACCTATTTTTTTTAGAAACCTGTTTTTCTAAAACAATGACTAAGAACAAAAAAATTCCTAAACTCTGTGTGAACTTTAATATGTGTGTATGTACATATCCATTTATATATGTACTTATATTTACATAAGCATATATCTAAAAAGAACCCCACTGCTATCAACTCGATTCTGATTCATATGGACTCTATAGGACAGGGTAGAACTGTCCCTGTGGGTTTCTGAATCTGTAACTGTTTATGGGAATAGAAAGCCTTGTCTTTCTCCCATATAAGGACAAGTATGTACGTACGTATGTATGTATGTATGTATAATTATATGTGCATGAAGAAAAATATGAAACAATACATACTGGTTAGGTAATATGCAGGAATCTGTGGGAAAGGTAGAGCAAGGACACAAAGAGGAAGAGAAAAAAGTGAACAACAGAAAATCAGAAACTCAGTTTCAGCAAATGTGCTAGATTAATTTCAGAAAAGGCTAATGGGAATGATTGCAAAACATGATTATCATCAGTGTCACTGCATTATATATGTGAAAAGAATACAATGGACACATGTTTTATTACATCTATACAGTTTACCACCAAAATTTTCAGCAATAATTTTACATGTTTATGCAGCTATACATATATCTAAATCAATTAAACTGGGAAACGATACAATGAGAAAACAAAAGCTACCCTATATGCTTTCTGCTTATCACAAAAAAAAAGAAAGAAGAAGAAAGGAAATTGCCTAAAATGATCTCTTGGAGTTGGATTATAGGCAATGATTAGTTTTTTTTTTTATGTGCTTCTGTATTTCCTAAAATGGATATTGTTACTTTCATTATGATGAAATAAAATCCATAAATGTTACTCTAAAAACATTACACTGAATCATTGAGCTCATTTTGGAAAATCAAGGGAGGAAAACAAGGTTAAATACCCCTTCCCTTTAGGAGCTGTTCAAATATGAAATCAGGATCCATTACCCATTACCCAGTAGAAAGATTCTCACTTAAGGCAAGAGACTTAAATGGCTATTCGGAAGTAGCAAATGGGGTATCCCCACCCCACCCCCTAACAATTTAATGACTTAAGTAAATCAGAAAGCCATTTACACTACTCTCAATTATCCAAGGTTCTGCTAGGCTCCTTACTTCCTGTTCTCTCCCTCTGGCTAGCAGCCATTTCACTGCTCATGAACAGCTCTAAAATGGGGGCCACGGAAAGGGAGGAAGGGATGAAATTAATTTGACTGATTTAGCTTCTCATTAACAACTCTAATAAAAGATTTGATAAGTGAGGTCAAAACTCACATTTAAAATGAGGCTTCTAGGACTCATGAGAATTTCATTTAAGCAAATTTGCCTTTCAGATAAACATGATTTGCCTCCAATATACATTAATGGATTTGATGCTGGCTATTTTTAAGAAAAGAAGCCTTGGTAGGGCAAACAGTTGTGTTCAGCTTCTCAACCAAAGGTAAGCCATTCAAACCCACCCATAAGCTTTACGTGTGAAACCCTGATGACCCGATCTTCTGCCATAAAGATGAAACTCCAAACCAAATTCACTGACATCAAGTGGACTCGAACTCGTAGTGAGTATGCAGGACAAAGCAGAATTGCCCACGTGGGTTTCAGAGGCTGTGAATTTTTACAGGATCAGTCAGCCTCATCTTGCTCCCACTGAGTGGCTTATGGGTTTGAACTGCTGACCTTGCAGTTAGGAGTCCACTCTGTAGCCCATTATACCACCGGGGCTTGAAAACACTATGGGGCAGTTCTACTCTACAACACATGGGCTCATCATGAGTTGGAATCAATTCAACAGCATTTTGAAGAAAAGTCAAGGCGTTTAATAAAGTAATATTGTTCTATCTGCATGTGCGTGCGTGCGTGTGTGTGTGTGTGTGTGTGTGTGTGTGTGCCTTCAGAGGGAAGAACCATATCCTCACTACAGCAATAGGATCACAATAAAAAGATCCTTGAGAAGAGGGAAGTTGTCCGGCCCCTAGTATGTTCTGCAGAAAAACACTGGGACAGCAACCTTCCATGGATTTGCTTAAAGGGTATGTTTAAGGGCTTGACAACATACAGATCTTTAAATATAACAGTCCTGTTTCATGGGACCCTCAAAGATGTTTGTCTGGGAAAAGACCAGGAAAGAATCAGTCTCTTGGGGTTACCAAGGTGCTCACAACAATGTCCTCATCACTCTTTGTTAGCAGTCTGTATAGCAATAACAACAGAGCAAAAAAAAAAAAATACAAGAAAACAATTTTCCCTTACTTGAAGACAACGATCGCTCCTTGACATGGAGGGCAGGCCAGGAGAAAGATCTGCAATTGAAAAAGAAGTATGGTTATTAAATGAAATGTGGGACACTGGGAGTCTGTGTTATTTCAACATTTGAGGGAAAATTACTTTAATCATGAAAACTCTTAACAAAAAGGTAATACAAAAATTATAAAGGTAAGGAGGGAGTTTTTCATAGTATATGTTTGGATTTGCATAAGCACATGGTGTGTGTGTGTGTGTGTGTGTAATAAGGAGCCCTGGTAGCATAGTGGTTACAAGTTGTGCTACCAACTCACAAGCTCAGTTCGAAACCACCAGCTGCTTCTTGGGAGAAAGACAAGGCTTTCTACTCCCATAAAGAGTTAAACTCACTGCCATTAAATCAATGCCGACTTGGAGAGTTCCCAAGACTGTAACTCTACATGGGAGTAGAAAGCCCCATCTTTCTCTTACACAGCAGCTGGTGGTTTCAAACTATTGACCTTATGGATTGCAGCCCAACAAGTAACCACTACACTACCAGCGCTCTCCCATAGAGTTACAGTTTTGGAAACCCACAGGGGTAGTTCTGTCCTGTCCTATGGGGTTACTATGAACCAGAATAGACTTCATAGCAATGAGTTTGGGGTTTGTATTTTTTGTTTGTTTTGAGTTTATATGTGTGTGTATGTGCATACATGGTTCTGTATATGAGCAGGCTTTAAATTTCTTGTGCAAAAGATAACGGAATTTTCCCACACACTTTTGGAAGCTCTCCTCATGCGTGTGTTTGTGCACACTCCTGTGTATTTGGGTACGTCTGTGTATGTGACATACATATAGAGAGACACAGAAAAAGAGAAGGAATGTATTCTCTGGGTAGGTTATGGAGGAAACTTTTAATAAACAGAATCTCAAAGATTATTCATAAGCCCTATTATAGATTAAATTATGTCCCCAGAGAATATGTGTTCTAAATCCTAACTTCTTGGCTGTTAGTAATAATCCCATTCGGGAATGAGCCCTCGTTGTTATGTTAATGAGGATGGATTAGTATGGAGTGCATCTTGTACTTTGGACGTGCTATCTGGAGAGACCAGTTCCCAGAGAAGGACAGTGCTTGATAAAATCGAGGGGCAGTAAAACAGAGGAAGACGCTAGGCCAAGTGAATTGACACAGTGGCTGCAACAAATGGTCTCAAAGGTCAGAACACACTATGAGGAGTGGGTAGGGTTCCTTCTATTGTGCACAGGGTCGATAGGAGTCTGAATGGACTCATTGGCACTTAACAACAATCCCTTTGAAGAGATTAAGAAAGATTCAAGAGAACAGAGATAGGAGAGAGTCACATGATGCTCACCCAGAAGTAGGAGCTCAAAAGACAAGGGCTTTTCCTAAAGCTGGCACCCTGGAGTCAGATTTCTAGCCTCTTCAGTTGTGCAACAATACATTTCTGTTTCCTAAGTCACCCACTTAGGTTCACTGGATCATAACAGCACTAGGTAAATAAGCAGCACCAGAGAACGTTCAGCCCCTGGAACACTTCCTCTTGTCTTAGAGCATGGTTTAATTTGACTCAGTCTTTCACCGCTTCAACTTCAATATGATACAAATGACCAATCTCAGAAGCTTTAAGCCAAGGGCAAGTGAAAATCGATTCTGAGCATGGGACACATACACAAATGGCTTCTACTTTGCTTCCTGTGAGGGAAGGTATGGTTTATCAATGCCCAGTATTGCCAGATGTAGAAACTAAAAAGCAGGCTTTGCAGTTAAATTGGATTTCAGATGGTGTATAATTTAGTATATGTGGTCCTAATTATTTTAAGGCATTTTTATACCAAATGAAAATTCATTGTTTATCTGAAATTCCAATATAACTGGGTGTCCTATTTTTATCAGTGCAGCAACCCCAAGTTCCAAACCTCTCTTTGATTGATGGGTTTGTTTCCAAGAAAGCCTGGGTGCTTTTGCTCTTCTAGTCTCCTCCCAGGGCAAATGAAACCAGAACTTTGGCTTTCTAGGAGACAAATCAATTCCATGCTTCTGGGTGTGACGTAGACCAGGATTAAAAGATTAAAAGCTGTGGCAGTTTGGCCTTTATTCACGCAGCAGTTTTCAAGTGTCAGGGGGCACAGAGAAGTCCCTGGCAAACTTGTTGACCATCCAAGTTTCTGGGCTCCCTGATTAGGAATTCTCTATGACCCAAAGCTCAGAAATCTGAATGCTTAACAAATGACCCCAGGAGATTCGATCACAGGCAACCATATAAAGAATGTTTCAACTATCTGAACTACTACTGTCAGAGCACTGGTAGCCCTGTAGGTTAGACATTGGGCTGCTAACCACATGGTTGGTGATTCAAAATCACTAGCAGTTCTGGGGAGAAGATGAGGCTATCTGTTCCCATAAAGATATTCAGCCTTTGGAAACAGGGAATCCAGGGCTGATGATCCCTTCAGGACCAGTGGTGTGAGTGGCGATACCAGGAGGGTGGAGGGAGAGTGGGTTGGAAAGAGAGAACCGATTACAAGGATCTATATGTGACCTCCTCCCTGGGGGACGGACAACTGAAAAGTGGGTGAAGGGAGATGTCAGACAGGGCAGGATATGACAAAATAAACAATTTATAAATTATCAAGGGCTCATGAGGGAGGGGGGAGCAGGGAGGGAGGGGATAAAATGAGGACCTGATGCCGGGGGCTTAAGAGGAGAGGAAATGTTTTGAGAATGATGAGGGCAATGAATGTACAAATGTGCTTTACACAATTGATGTATGTATGGATTGTGATAAGAGTCATATGAGCCCCTAATAAAATGATTTAAAAAAAGATATTCAGTCTTAGAAACCCTAAATATTGAATTGCTATGAGTCACAATTGACTCAGTGACAGTGGATATAGGGGGTCAATGACACTGGACAGGACTGTCATGGGTGTTAGTTGCCTTCAAGTTGATTGTGACCTGTGACAACTCGTGTGCAGAAGAGAACAGCTCCATTGCATTTTCAAGGCTATGACCTTTCAGAAGCAGATCAACATATCTGTCTTCTAGGGCACCTCTCAAAGTCAAAAAAAAATCACTGCCATCCAGTCGATTCCCAACCAATACCGACTCTCTAAGACAGAGTAGAACTGCCCCTGTGGGTTTCTGAGATTCTAAATCTTTTCAGCCATATACAGCCTCATCTTTCTCTACAGAGGCTCATGGATTCAACCCATTGACTTCGTGGTTAGGAAGGCAGCTCGGCATGGGTTCAAATCACCAATCTTCTGTCAGGAGTTGAGAATCCACAACAGAATGAAACTCGTGTTGGTAGAGTCCTGCCAACTGCAGTCATTTAATGGAATTGTTTAGAAAGCACGGATTCATTGCACTATTTTGTTGAGAACTCTTATTAACATATATTAACATATATATGATCTGCTATATGGACTGTTAGCTTTGTCATGTATGTGTTCTCAGTTTCTGTTTTGAAGGAAGGAGGAAAGACAACACCTCTATAATGAAAGACACCTACTTGAGTCCCTGCCCAGAAGAAGAGAAAGAAGAATGGAAGGAAGAATCTTGAAAAAAAATATGGCCAGGAGTCCAACACCGGCACTGTATCCAAGAACCCATCACAGGAAATATTCATTGTGAATATGTCTCTACCCCATTGGAGCAGTTTGGTGAAAAGCACAAAACCAGTGAAAATTACAGGTCTACAATTCTTATCTGTAATCTAACCCCACCCCCCAAAAACCTCTAAAAACTTAATTTCCCCACCCCCAAAGTCAATTTGGTAACAAAACCTGTCTTGCACTGATGTGAGGCTATTCACAGATTTTATTTATTCCACTTACAGCAAAGAAAGATCGTTTTGATAGAAATCATGTTACTTGATTATGGGATGCTGCTGCCCCAGACCTCACTTGAAGTACATGTAAAGCACACTAGAGGTATTAAATTACCTCTCTAAAATCCTAAACATTCTGATTTCTAAAATACATCTGTCCTAATGGTTTTAGATAAGGATTGTAGACTTAAAATTTCAATCATATAACTATGAGTTTATCCCTGCTCCCTACCGGATCCCTAAAGAGCGGGTTTTCTTTACGACTGATCTAGCAGTAAAATTACTCTCCTTAGACAAGGAACCAAAGTGAAGACTGCACATTTACCCAGCATCAGGCTCCTCAAAGGCTATTCAGTAGCTTCAGTACACAGAGAATAGACAGCTCCCAACCAACCACCCAATTACCCCAGAAAGCTCCACAATACCTCTCTCGGGAGTCACCAAAGAGCCATGAGCTTCTGGATTACTCAAAGCACCTCGAACATGCTAGATAGAGAAGTAAAACACAGCACTGGGCCGCCACAATTAACTCCTGCTTTTCTATACATACAGCCAAGAGAGGATGAGAAGGTCTTGGAGGTAAATTTCCCCATAACTGCTCAATTTGGTTCATTCTGATCTACGAAAATCCTAAGCCAGAAACCTAGAAATCTACTAAAAGGAGCAAACCTCCAGTTCCCAGCCAGTAAAGTGGCTTATATTATCTTCCACTCAGCCATAGATCCAACTTCCTTTGAGGCTTGACTCTAAATTGATTTTCCATTAGCTCCTTTCATGAGACCAAGTCATCCCAAGCAACACTTTGGCCTTTCTCATCTTTCCTATTGATTTCCATCACAAGGATACAGGTTATATTTTTTCAAGCCATCTTTAAAACAGATATTTGTAGACATGTCAAAGCAGCAGATTTGGGGGTGTAGAGGGTGGAAAACCATGCATTCATTATATTCTATTTCCAGCAATCGTATGGCCTCTCCTTCAGCAACTTCAAAGATTTATAACCTTGAAACTCTCTGCTCTGGCATGCTTGAGCCATATCCCTATGAGTACCACTAACTGAAAGAGTCACAGGAAAATAGCATTTGAATTCAGAGGCCCAAGGACCAATGAGTCACAAGGGCCCTCAGCTTTGGCCCCTGGGAAGAGAGAACACTGGAAATAGAGGTGGCTTCCAACCACCTCCAAATTTTGGTAGCGTGTGTTTTAGACAAGCAGATAGAAAG